GGCCCTGTTTTATGTGCGTAAAACATAATTTCACCGCATAAACAAGACCATTTAAAACACATACGATAGTTTGTATCTAGTTTCTTGTTGTTGTTTGTTGGTTTGTTTGTTTTGTGACCACTTGACCAAGCATTAAAGGAGACATTTAGAAACGTAGATTCAAAGATTTGTAATTTCTGCCAAAAACGCGTAAAATCACGTTCTGTTTAACAAAAGGCGGAAATTGTGAGCGATTTCCACGCAATGCATCCACCCTGCGGTCAGGCCTTGCCCTGCTATTTCAAAATCACTTCAATTGATTATTATGCCGTGGCAATATTACAGATTATCATTAACCAAGATTATCTTGGGCATAATCTTATACAAAGAAAGAAATTGTAACCTAGTCTAACTTTTGGATTATTTTGACAGGACGGCCATTTAAGAATGCCTTTTTCATATACAATGTTTAACTTATATTAAATAAGGGCAGGTGCAAGAACAAGTTGAATGTGAGCCTCTAGCATAATATTATTTCTTTTCTACAAGTTCAATAATTTTTGGTATTTAACCGAAATGAATATAATATCTATTCTATTCATCACATTTCCAAAACGGGTTAAAATGAATCTCATTTTCATTGAAGCATCTAATCTGTAGCGTAGCATTATCATTTAGCGCGTCTTTGCTTATTATGCAAATGACGTCACGGCAAAATATGTGCACGGACGCACAATACTATTTCTAAGGAGTCGCAAAAGTGACAATGGCATGTGATAATATAGTGCCATTTATCACAGACATTCGGAATGCTGCTTTAATGCTATCTCAGGTAATCAATCGGAAAACAATTCTAAGCATTATTATTGGTTGCAAATTTTAAAATGGTTCAAACTCAGTCATGCAGTGCGGCATTGATTGCGGTCTACAGTTTTAAGAGTGGAACTGTCATATGAATAACGATTGATTATAAGGAAATGGTGAATGTTATGAAGATAAAAATGAACGGAAGAAAATATTTGAATATTGTCAATGTCATTACGTTTATGTTATTTAAAGGTAAGATTTTTTTTCCAGAGATTATCGTTTTTTTAGAAACTAACTGTAAATAAGTATTTTAGTACAGAAATGATTAATTTTCCCGACGCTTCAGTTAAGATAGTAATATTGAATCATCCGAAGAAGGAAAACAAAATATTGCAAGTGAGATGCGTTTATATATTTCGAAACGTTTATCTGAATCTTAACCCGAAGCGATTTCTTGAATACATATATATATGTGTTGATAGAAAAAAAAACTTGCATTTTATCTGGTTTTAATTATCTATTTTCATATAATAGCTCTTAAAATGGCTGCCTAAAACAAAATAGTTTTCTATAATATTTTCTTAAACTATATGTAGAGTTGTGTCGCCGCTTACAACAATTTGCAAATGGATAATTAATTATGTATAATTATATCACGGAGATAACAGTCGATTAACGATGTCATGAATTGTGTATATGATCAATTAGAGAAACACTGGTTACATAGCATCATTTACAAATTGCTTGCCTTAAAGGGACTCCCCTGGTTTTTTTTTGACATGATGAGACTGGAAATAATTTTTCGAAATTAATTTTCAATTTGTTGTATGTCTAGACTAACAGAATATGTGCAAAATTTCAAATAATTCACTTGCTCCTTTTTATCTTCGAAAAATGGCAAAAAAAAAGAGATGAAAACGCTTTTCACTAAAATCGGGCTTATAACAGCAAAACTACGATTTTCAATTTATTTCTAAGTATATTTTTTAATTATTTTTGGAAGTCTGTCTGTTTTAAGTGTCTAAACTGATCTTTGTAAGAAATTCAATTTTAAATCTTCTTAAGCCTTTGGACCTCAGTGGAGTTCCTTTAATTAACCATTACACTACTGACGGCCACATATTTTCCTTTGCTACGATTGCAGTGCAATAACATATTCAGTCAGTACAGATCTTTGAAATTAATTCTCGTAAATAAAGAATGGCTTATCCAAATTGAAAGATGGATAAGTAAATTTATGAGAATTTGCGAGGGAAAGAGTTAAGGATAATTTATCAGACGATTTATCGGTCCCTCTCCAGGGAACTTAATCAAAAATACAAAGGAGGTAATTAATTTTGAAACGAAAAAATTTTGTACACATCTTCCATTACATGTATGCAATGTTTTTGCTAGTTCTAAGAACCACAAGTCCCGTCTTTGTCATGATTTTGCTTAATTTTTACACTCTACTTCTTCATTTGCAGACATTGCTCTAGGTCTTGCGTGTAAAGATGACGAAAAAACTCAGGAATGTCAGAGTGTGGATATATGTTACGGTATGTGCAATAACTTTTTATGAAATATCTCAGTCAAGGTTTATGATGTTAATATACGGGAGAGTAGGACTGGAAGGTGATAATCTGTCCGGTAAATGAATAATTGGCCCGATGGCTTCTGTCCGAGGTTTATCAGTTTCCGGCCCGTCAAGGTTCCGTCACACCATGAAGTTCTTGTCAACGCTCTTTGAACGTTTCAACCATTCAATTTTGGAACGTTCTTGAATCTATAGCGTATGATAAATGTGCGTCTAACGAATAACTAGAGTGTGTTTAACGCACCAGAAGCGTGCAGCAGCGACCAAGTAACGTCTGAAACCTAACGTGCCACTGGCGCGGGGCTAACTATTTGTCAACTCCTGACGAGCGTTGTGAGCCCGTGACTAACGCGTGAATAACGAAAGAATAACATCTTGATGGCGTGTTATTTTTACGGCGAAACGGGTACAGAGCGCTGGAAATTTCATTGTAAATTCAGTTGTTCTTGTGAGTTTGAAAAGTCAGCATCATGACGCCAATAAAAAAAATGGGTGAGGGCTTTCCTACTAGCTACATTTTGTATTTCCAAATACTCGACGTCTTTATATTTATTATTCAGTCCAACAATGTCGTCTTCATCGGGGCCTTCTCTGCGGATGGATTTCCTAGATGTGTTCAGCTATGTATAAGTTCAGTACATCTACTTGATTTTTGACTTATGATTACTAGTATAGCCTAATAAATCTTTCAGGATATTCAATAGTAGGTGTTCTCTACGATAGCAAAAAATCAAATGAACATTTCAATTGACATATGTATAGACGTTCGTTAAACGGTCGAATGATGCTCAAAAGATGGACGCCAAATGGACGTTTGTTTACCTTTAGTCACGCGCTTTATGCACTTGAAAACCGTCCAGCGGTCGTTGACAGGTCGCCAGTGAGTCGCCAGTAAGTCGTTCACAGCAAAGCAAACGCTTAGTAACAACCAAGTAGCGATTCAGTAACGACTGATTAACGATAGCCGAACGTGTGCAACGCTCGGCGAAAGTTAGTAAAACGTTTCATGAACGTTCTTAACGTTCTTCAGCGTTTGAAATTTAAACGTTGAAGAACGCTGGTCTGAGTGAGAACTTTTGCGCATGTTCAAAACTTAATTTCCTTACCAGCGTTCTACGTCGGTTTACACAACGTTCTTCTGGCGCTATCCCAGCAACAATGGGCGCCTTCCAACGTTTCCTTAAATGTAATAGAACTCTGACAGGAACGTCATGGTGTGACGGCCATGTTTCTTAATGTATATAATACATGTACTCGTGCTGATACATTAAATATTGTTTCCAAAAACTTTAATATTCTGTCTTCTAGAGACCTCCGCCCCTGGTTCCCACCCTTAAACTAGTACAAAGGCCAGTAGAATCTAGTTCGCTCTGAATAAAACTGCTCTTTTTATTTTTCCATTTCAATGTTAAAAGCATTGGTAAGTCAGCGTATTAAAGGCAAGTATTGTGTTTTGTCGAATGGATGAACAATAACGCATATGATAAATGTTCCTTGTTTTTGTTTCCTCCGTATGGTGGCATATTTCTGCCACCAGATAACCTGATAATTAACTAGTTAATTAAGAGGTTAACTAGTTACGTAACTAGCTGACATGGCCGTATATAAGCTGTTCGGGTTATATTTCCAACACAGCCGTATATAAAAGTTTTATAACCTGTCAAAAAATTTTTATAACTAATATTTTAAACGGTGGTTTGTATAAATATCCAGAGCTGGTATTGCAACTGTTTATATACTATTTATAACAATTTATGAATTTATGATATAAAATACTTCATTCATTTGTAAAAAACTTGAAATGACTTCATAAAATAAAAGCAGCTGTGTACATATATTTTGTGAAGTCACGATTATAGTATGAAAAACTTTGTTATAAACGTGCAGTATTATAAAAAAGAAAACTATGGTGGCTGATTTGGAGCGTTTTGGGGCGTCGTGTTGGTGCTAGCGACATCAAGACAAAGCGCCAAACGGCGCGTTGTCAGACTTTCGACTTGTCATCCTGTCGCTAACGATGTACGCTAAGCGGCGCTTTGCCGTGCGGCGTGTTGTCGCGATGTCACATTGTCGCTCGGTTCAAATCGAAGGATTGGCTTATATGCCAAGCGACAGGGCGACATAGCGACAATGCGCCGCACGACAACGCACCGTTTAGCGTGCTTCCCTAGATACAGGACAACAAGGCGACAGCGCGACAACGCCTCGTTTGGCACTTTGTCGTGTTGTCGCTAGTATATTTTAAATTGTTAAATTCAAATTCACAACAGATCCCGAAGTACTATTACATTGGTTCGAGAACTGACAAAATATCTCAAACACGACAAAGGATTCACTGTAGTTCACTAAAGGAGTCTTTGAAACAGGACCTATACTTTCCATTATATCACAGTGACCCCTTACTTCACTTTTTGTGTCTTCATTCTGATCTCCTCTTTTTCCCTCTCTTCTGTTTGTATCTGTCTTTCTCTCATGTCGAGAAATTATCTAAATTTGTTATATGCATTGCATTTTACACATTTGACATGCACAGCTCTTCTTTATGATACTTTACAAGTTACTTCTTTCGTAGTAGGTATTTGTTATCTTCTTATAAATATATGGAAATACAGCTAACATATTCTGTATACATACATATATTCATAGTATTTTAAAGCAATTTTACCTAGCACTTACTTCCAGTCAACATCTCAATACCATATGTTTCCATTTTTAGTATTGTTCTCTTTTCCCCTTAGTTTTCTCTCTAGGATGAACACAACATTAAACGAGGATCTTATAAGATGCTGGACTTTGTTAATGTATATACCTGTACTTCTTTCTCTCTTGTTGGTGGCTGTTAAATTTCTATTTCTGTTATTAGAAATTACATGAACCAAATTAAGCGGCCAGCGCCAACAACGGAGAGAGTGTTTCGCACTCGCTTTATGTTTAGATTTCTCCTCTTACACCAGTTTTTATTTACATTCACTTACCTCAGCTATATTCCTCTTAGCATAAGATTGTGCATCTGTGATCATGACTTAATATTAAAAAGTATATCTTTGCCTCTTTCTCGTCGCAAACATCCACCTAGTATGAAACAATATTTCAACTTTGTCTTTTTGTTCAATATTCTCTGTTCAATCATTTTGCTTTTCTTGTCCGTTCAAACCTGGAACATTTGTACTATAATTCTTCTGTCGGGTGATGTTCATAAAAACCCAGGACCTGATTCCGATGTCCTTAGTACTTCATCAGTATCTTCTGTCTCCTCAGACAATGAATATATTGATCTTTCCCGGAACCTTTCGTTTGTCCATTACAACGTCCAAAGCATTGTTCAAAAACTTGACACCATCTACTCGGAACTCAAGGATTTTGATATCCTCTCATTTTCAGAAACATGGATCGGCCAACATATTCCATCGTCAGACCTGATGATATTAACAATCGAATCCTTCGTGAACTCTCACATGAACTCAGTGGCCCTCTAAGTTCTCTATTTAACTATTCCATTCAGGTTTCTCAAGTTCCAGACGTATGGAAAGAAGCAAATGTTTCACCTCTTTTCAACTCGGGTGATCCTTCTCTTGTTAATAATTACCGACCAATATCTCTCATAAGTACTGTCAACAAAGTCTTTGAAAGAATCGTATTTAAACACACATTTAATTTTCTGCGTGATAATAATATCATTACATCTCTTCAATCTGGTTTTGTTCCCGGAGACTCCACTGTCAACCAATTAACATACTTATATAATCTGTTTGCACAGGCCATTGATTATGGTAAAGAAGCCAGGGCTGTGTTTTGTGACATCAGTAAAGCGTTTGATCGGGTCTGGCACAAGGGACTTATTTATAAATTAAACTGTATCGGTATTTCTGGCCGTCTTTCCTCTTGGTTTTCTTCTTATCTTAAGGACAGAAGATTAAGTTTTTTTAATTAATATTCTTAAAATAATTTGTTCTTTGAAAATTGTTAACTTATTTGTTTGTTTTTTTATGTTTTCTTGATCTCTAGAAATTAACTTTTTTTTCTTCTTTTTTTATGATGAAATAAAGGAAAATATTAACTGATAAAAAAATTTCGAAAAGATTATCTTTACATTTAACAATAATTATTTTTTTACTTATTAAAAACATTACAAAATTGTTGAAGTAAATTATAACTTACCCGACTGCAGTATCCGAAAACTTTTTAAAAAGTGACAAGAAAATATATTGAGCGAATATTTCCGAATATTGTTTCCTAAGGCGTTTTTCTTTTAAAATAAAGTAATAAAAAGTCATTAGATAACATCTCTGACCGGACATCTCTGACCGGATATTACCTTAGGTGGTTTTTCTTTTAAAATAAAGTAATAAAAAGTCATTAGATAACATCTCTGACCGGACATCTCTAACCGGATATTACCTTAGGTGATTTTTCTTTTAAAATAAAGTAACAAAAGGTTGATGTATAACATCCTTACCTTAGGGGCAAAACAGATGTCAAGTTGGTTTTAGAAAGAGTTTGAAATGTTTGATATTTAATACTTTGTTTAATACTTTTTTTTAAATATTTTTTTATGTAAGAAAAGGAGGATATTTGTCGTATAGCTGGTTGCACAGGCTAATGAGTCATACACGCTATATTCAAAAAGAATGACAAGTCAACATGTGTATACATATATTAAGGTTTTTATTTCATAATGTGCACTATGGAACATGACTTTGATTTATGAATATTATAGTGCAGGATACATGCAGACTGAGCTTATGTCAAAATGATTTATACATGTAACTCTAAAACGTGTGTATTTATATGCATTATAAAATGTTCTTATGTCAGACAGGTTGTCATTATATATACTATTCACAAATGTCCAGCAAACAGTTCGGCTTTGGTATTCCACTCGTACACTGGTGTATTTATATTTGTATATTAAAAGTATGTAACATCCGTGAGTTCTTTCTCCGTTATACGACGACAAAGAGTTATTTTACCAGGTTGTAGATCTTCTCTTAACTCTATTGCGGCTGGTGTGCCACAAGGGTCAATTATTGGGCCTTTGTTGTTTCTTTGTTTATATTAACGATATTATTATCGACATCAATGCCAATATAAGACTTTTTGCCGACGACACTAACCTTTTTATTGTGGTCGAAGACCCCGTGACTGCTTCAGCTATCCTTAATTCAGATCTTGATAAGATTACATCTTGGGCCGAACAATGGTTGGTAAAATGTAATCCCATTAAAACAGAATCACTATTAATAACACGAAAAACAAACCAAAATGTAATCCATCCTACTATCTTTATGCATGGCACATAAATAAAAGAAGTACGCATTCATAAACACTTTGGAATTCCTTTCGCTCATGATTTAAGATGATCCACTCATATTGAATATATCACAAACAAAGCTTGGAAAAGAATAAATGTTATGAAAATATTAAAATTCCAACTTGATAGGAAATCATTAGAAATAATTTATCAATCTTTCATAAGACCGATTTTAGAATATGGAGATGTGCTTTTTGATAATTGTACGCAAAGTGATAAAAAGGACCTCGAACAAATTCAACAACAAGCCGCTAGAATAATTACTGGAACAACTAAGCTCGTATTAATCGATAAACTCATGAATGAAATTGGCTGGGAATCCCTAGAAAAAAGGAGATACAAACATAAACTTACTCTATTTTTTAAAATGAAAAACAACCTTACACCACATTATCTTTCTGATCTTGTCCCTCCGTCGATTGGCAGTGAGCACCGTTACCCTCTCAGGAACGCGGACGACATACAATATATCCGTACAAATACAGAATTTTACTATAAATCATTCTTACCTTCTGTTATTAGTGATTTCAACTCTCTTCCACCTCAAACACAAACTACTACAACGTAAACACCATTTAAGCGACTTCTTAATATTGATATGCCAAAAGTACCTGCCCATTTTCTATGCGGTGAGCGTAAATTACAAATTTTTCACACAAGATTATGTACTAACTGCAGCTCTCTTTCTGCCGATTTATTTGATAAGAACATTACCGACTCTCCTTTGTGTGAATGCGGTGCGAGAGAAAATGCTTATCACTACTTTCTGGAATGCCCTAAATATACTAACCTACGACCTGAATTAATAAGTACTATATCTCAATTTTGTAATCCTTCCATCAATGTCATTCTTACTGGTTGCACTACTTTACCTTATGATTCTAATGTATCAATCTTTAAATCAGTTCAAAAATATATCCGAGATACAAAACGATTTTAGCGTACTTAAACCAGAGATGTCTTAACATACTTGACATTTACTAGATTATGCATCTTAGTTCCTCGTTATTGTTCCATCATTGTTCATCCATTTCTTCCTTCCTTTTTCTAATATCTTTTTTTTCTTTAAATATTCAGTGTATATCTATTGTGCGTATCTGCTAATATACAGCTGTAAGATATTATTTTTCTTCTTCTTACTAAATTCTAAAACAAAAAACAAAAAAACTAAAATAGGTGTTTGTCTATTTGTACTTTTTTGTGAGTTGCTTTATTCTTCAATCATTTTTTTTCTTTTTTTTCTCCTTTTTACTGTTTGCTCTTACATATGTTACATTGCTAAATACTTAACTCGAATGTCTTTGAATACTTCAACTAACCGTTTTGTATGATAATGCCATGAACTGTGTTATTGTAAATTATTATAACTGGGAGAGGACATTCATAAGCTTTATAGCTTTCTGCCCAATCCCAAAATGTACTTTGTAAATATTGTTCACTTGTTGAATAAATATGTTTAAACCAAATATATGGAAGGAATTAAATCGTAATGTAGGCATAATGAACTGTAATTACAAAAATTATATTATGCTGTTACTAAAATAAATTGTTGAAATATTTTTACAGAGGAGAGTTTCATATAAGCTTTAAGCTTTCTACTCAACTCTGAATGCAATTTATGTTTTGAAATTTTGTTTGTTAACATTAAAGAAGAAATATATATCATTTAAACCAACCGGCTGCACCCCCACTCATTCTTTACGGCATACCGTGTCTCAAATTTCATAAGAATTTCAAAAGCCTACCTACACTTCTGGAATAAGGCGTGGTTTTGGACTGTATTGGCACCTTTTTCATGAATGTAATAGCTTGTAAATGTGCTCCTTTCACAGGAGGTTCGTCTGGGATTACAGCGGCAGACGTATTGTGTATTATGAACAACGACTGTGACGACACATACCGGATTGATGCATGTGACAAGTGCGAGAAAAACCCATCGCAATACGATTATGACTCGCAATATAAAGATTGTACAGGAAATTGTTATGAAACAGGTTAGTTTAGCTTAGAATGTTTGACATATCTATGGTGGCTGATTTGTGCCATTCGTGCTTTCGCCCCGCGACCCCGCCAAGCGAAAAGTCGAGAATAAACAAGTTAAAATGGCGGGGTCGCGGAGCGAAAACACGCTAATTAGCGGGGGCGCGCGGCAAAGTTTAATAAATAAAATTTCGCCACGCGATGCGCGGAGCGAAAATTATGAAATAAAACGGCGGGGAGCGGGGCGAAGTTAAATGAAATAAATCTTCGCGTCTCCGCTAATTAGCGTGTTTTTTGTCCCGCTACCCTGCCATGCGAAAAGTCCAAAATTAACAACTTAAAATGGGTGGGACGCGGTGCGAAAACACGAATGGCACAAAGCAGCCACCATACATATCAACATTTTGATGTAATTTATAATGTTATGTTAAGGTTATAAATAAACTGTGTATGGAAACAATTATATAGGTCGCTGGGCTGCCAACTTCACTCAACTATTAGTACAAACTCTCTATCACCCGTTTGGTAAATATAACATTACTTATTTCTTATGTTAAACCTATATCTACGAGTTTCTGTTTGTATCATTTATCTTCTTATTATTTCTTTAAATACAATAGATAAAATGAGCGAAATGAAAAAAGTGGACAAATGTGGGGTTTGTGATGGCACGGACAGCACGTGTAATCCTTCTGTGACGAGTCTAGACATTACCGTGATTCCCAGCAATACAAATATCGTAAGAAAATTATTATTTTTATACTATACGTCTCGTGACTTCGCCTCGGTATATGCACCAAAAGGTAATTCGTAATATCATTAGGTGATATGACTTTTTTACCCTCACGTGGGTCTCACCACAGACACATGGAGTGTGGAGCTCAAAACGCCTTTTAAATCCAAATAAAATGCATATTTGTTAATCCCAGCACAAGTACTTATCATATTTAAAGCCGTCTTGAATTATAGATGTTTTGAGCTTCACACCGCCAAGTGTCTGTGGGTTTTACGAGAGACAGACTATAAGAAGTTTTTACTGACTTCCGGTGTACAAATCGGAATATCCAGCTGGGGAGTAACCACGAAGTTACTTCTAAACAGGTACCAGAGAGCAGTGTTTACATACTATTGTTATTTATAGATTTAATTTTACTAATTTTTACAGAATTATTTTTCATTTTAAAAAAAATGATTGATGTCATGCTTTAATCATAAGAAAATCGACGTAATGTGGCAAAAATTTGTTAAAGCATTCAAGAATAATTGTATTTCACTCGTGAACTTTATATGTTATATTTCACTCGTGAACACAGTCTGTGTTATTTCAGTGAACATCATCTGTCATGCTTTCACTCCTTCAACTGCCACTCATGAAAATATGGCTCTGGTATTTGATATGTCAAATATATTAACTTTACAAATTTAAACAGAATCGCAAGTGTAGTTTAGGAAGAAATATCTTTCGTCGTTTACATTTTCATTTCCTGTTTCGTTAGAAGGCTACGTTATCATATTCTCTCTATATAAAATAGTCGGTCAATATAACCGGACAAGCAATGATGACGGCAAATATCCAAATACTGCTCCTCGAAGTTGTCATAACTAAAAGTAAGCGAGAAGCGCCTAATTATATAGAATATCAACACACTGAAAGTGACAATGCAGCATCTGGTCATAGAATAGTAAAAAGAGCGACTGAAAAAACTGTCATACGTACTCTAAATATTGTCAAAGTCTACACGGACACATCATCTGAGATAAGACTGGATGATATTGAGGCAGGTATGTAAAGTGAAGAATTGTTCTAAAGAGTTCTTAGATAATAACAAATAACAATGCAAGTTTCTTAAGAAGTTTCATTATATTGTCATATTTATCATGTGTAATACCTCTTTCAATGTCTGTATCTATGTAAATTCAAAACGAAATGTATCAAAATGTAGCAAACCAAAATATCACATGAAATCAATTACCAATCAAATAACCGTTTAATTCAAACGTATGGGTAAAATCAAACTTTATCTCTCAAAGAAAGGAATACTTTCGAGCACTTTACAATTGTCATTTAATTTATGTGCAATCTGCAACACTACATGAGATTTCCAACAATTAGGAAGAAGAATTGACATTTTAAGAGACTTTTGTTACCTTAAGGACAATAAAATAGGATATGGATTTTTTATCCTGAAAATGAAAATAACGCTAGATGGAGTAAAATGTGCATTTGAAATAGATATTTATGACTATGAAAATGAAAACGAGGTTAAGAGGGATAAAATATATGCATTTGATATGGGTTGCTGGACTCTGGAAATGGAAACGAGGCTGAATTGGTAAGATTAGGTCCTATAATGTATATATTAGAACATCACGTGGTTCAAATGATGGAACTCCATTGGTTATATTTTGTATGGTGTGAAATAGATAAACTATTGAACATACACAGATTATCATAAATGATGATACTGATGATGGGGATGATAATGATAATAATAATAATATAAACAACATGAAAAAAAAACACACTTTCTAATAGTTATATTATAATTGACACATGTTGTACACAAGTCATGTTTTCAATTTTACTTTCAAAAATGTTGAACACAGTTATATAAAACCTTTTAAAACATGCATTTATAATTCAAACGGTTATTTAACTCGAAGAGATAGCCAATAATAACTACTTTGTTCATTCTGAAGTAAACATTTGAGCAAGTAATGCAGTCTCAAACGTCAACTTCTACTATAAGTCAAACCTTAGTAATGTATCTTTTAAACGTTTCATATAATTGACTGCCGTTTGTCACAAGGGATATATTTCAAAACTATATGTATTCTTTCTCGCCTGAGCACTAAGTTCGATCAATAACTTAGAATCAATCAAACACACGATGTTGCTTGCCTTCAGTGATTATAAAAGAAGTTAAAAATGGTAAAATAACTCATATAGAATATGAACTATGAATAAACTATTAGCTCTACTCTACATTCAGTCAAGCCTAAAACAGATTATATCTATTCAAAGTCGATTGTAAATGCATACCATGGTTTTATGTCTTTTCTATGACCGGGTTAATGACCAGCTGATCCTTATTTGACCATAAGTCACCAAATCTATTTGTCAATTTGTTGAGCGAAGCAAACAACCATTCTTGTTTAAAGAACGCCAAAGTCATTCATTTAAGATTTTAACCTGTTAAAGGGACTCCGATGAGGTGCCTTTTGATGAAATATTTGCTCGAGATTATTGTTCCATTTGATGTAGGTCTAGTGCCAATAGCACGTGTGCAACATTTCATATCATTTTCTCACGCCTTTTTACCAGAATTATCATTCTAATTTAAAAAAAAAAGCTCAATACTGGAAAGCGTTGTATTTTTTTTTTACTCAAACCGGGCTAAGAAAAGCACAACAATACGATTTCCAGTTTATTTCTGAGTATAATTCTATGTAATTATGTTTTTATCTTTCTGCCATACGAGACCTGATCTATGTAAGAAGTTCAAATTTAATGATTTTAGTATTTTGGACCTCAGTGGAGTTGTTTTGCTCATCATTTTAGAATATCATAATGTTAAAAATAACGTTTAATTGAGGATTCACCATAAACGCTGTGTTAAAAACATCACTATCAAATCGGCCTTTGCAAATATTCATTGTTCACTGTATAGCCAAATTTATAGTAGAATTTATTTTGAAAAGGAAAACTTAAAAACAGTACTTTAACCATGAAATATTATGAAACGCTGTAAATACACGTCTGTGGATGTTTAGCAGAACATATATAGCGAACCAGGCGGTCCTGAGCTAGATATTGCACAAAGGAGTGTTGCGTTGTAAATCTTTATACAAAATAAAGATATTTCAATATATATTGTCATTTTTTTGTCTGTACATGCTACGGGCACTGTCGAGGATCTGTCGATGTTTTATATGTTCTGTTCACCGACCATTTAATCAGTATGCAATTGATATGTTAATATATATAAAACCGGGAAATATTACATTTTTACTCCAAGTTTAACTATTTAAAATGTTATTCTGACAAATGTCAGATCAGACTATTATTTCTTTCCTCTTGTAGAAAGTGGATCATTCTGAAGCGCATCCTTATTCTCTGTTTTATACACAAAATGTTTATTTGCAAGAATAAAAAATCATATTTTGGTAATATCTGACCTTGTTATTTAAAATATTACGTATTTTAGTAAATACGGACATCATACAAATTTCCAGTATATATTACGAGTGTACGGATCACGGTATATAAGGCATATAGGTATTGCATGATACACGGTCCCGTACATCTAAGTATTCAAATTTCACTTATTTTTGCCTATCTGTAATATTCGGAATTCATCTGTAATATTCGGAATTCCGTACCCTTTATTGTATCCATATATTTTATGCAGTGGTCATAATGAAATAAAATTCCGTTTACAGCAGGATTTTGACACAGGGCCAACGTTTCAATGAACGTCCCGTGATAGTGTGACTTTATCCAAAGGGGTGGGGGAAATAAAATCACGTGTACCGAAAAAATTGAGTCGGTGACCCCCTATATTTTTAGTCATTTAGACTGAGTATACATTTGAAAGGACGTTTAAAGAGAAAAAAATAAAAAAAAATATTTCAGGAATTTTTAGATAAGCCGCTTTAATGCCGAAAAATGCGGCTAAACTGAACGTCAAATTTTACACAAAATTGACAATTTTCTTTTCATTTTTTAAACATTTTTCGGCGTTAAACAAGAAATTTTATATCAGCTTAAAGGAAAAAAAATAATTTCTGTCGAATTCTGTAGAATTTAAGATATTTTGTACGTCAATGGCGTTGAAATACCCGTAACAGTTGCCAAGGATACGCGACGACGTCATGTTCAAAAACGAGCTTTGATGGTCAACTTTGACGCCGTGTGCACAAAAATTGGGTGAAACTATTGAAATAAAATCAACGGAACCTAATTAGAAATATGGTCAACTTTTTACATGCCAATTTTAATTACGCTACTCGAAAGTTCGCAGTGTCGCGTTCTACCTTAATTAATATCGTTAAGTAATTTGTTGCTGATACCAGTTCTTAAGATTCATAAATGTTAAGTGCCAAAATGCATGTTTGTACCTATGTTTTAATTACCCACTATGTTTATTTTTCATTTAATTGCATTAGACCCTTGTGAAAGAAGAATTATACTATATATTATTCCTTTTTATGTAATAGGTACATATGAGATAGGGGCACGAACGGGTGAAAAAGGTGACGAGTACATTTCTCACACTGGACCACCATTAATTGTTTATAATGAAAATGGTAGGAAAGTTAACATTTTACTTTAACTTAAAATATACTTATATATAAGACAGTCTGCGGTAATAACTTGTACCTTTCAAGTATAATTTTATCAAATAATGCGGATTTTTATTTTAGCCGCGCCATGACAAAACCAACATAATGGGTTTGCGACCAGCATGGATCCAGACCAGCCTGCGCATCCGCGCAGTCTGATCAGGATCCATGCTGTTCGCTTACAAACCGTATAACAAGTAGAGAAACTGATAGCGAACAGCATGGATCCTGATCAGACTGCGCGGATGCGCAGGCTGGTCTGGATCCATGCTGGTCGCAAACCCATTATGTTGGTTTTGTCATGACACGGCTCATATATAAAACAAAAAACACAGTCCACAATCCATGACTTAACTTATTTAATTATTTGCAAATAATTAAATAAGTTAACTCATGGACTGTGTTTTTTGTTTTATTTATATGTGACGTTTTTCCGGCACTTATTTTTCATATATTATATTGTAGAACATTCATAATTCAAAATCAAAATATATTCAATGTTTTCAGATTTTACAGTTCCCAGCATCTCTCCAACTGAACAGGATCTAGATGGAACAACCAAAATTAAAGTAACATTAAAACTAAAAAGGTCTAGGTCTGTCGTCGGGCTTTACGGAGGACTTGAAAAGATATTTGATATTGCTCAGTCATTTACATGTTTCTACAGTACGTTCACATCCAAGACTCCCGAACAATTCTTTTCACTGTTGAATGGTTTCTTTACAAAATATAAATATCTGATTATACATTGGTATTTTTTATTTGCATGTATTTTAACTATCGATAATATCATTAAGGTATAAGACAACCATTTGGCATACTTTTGTTAACAATTTACTACTAGAAATTAGCTTCATTTTGTACAATGTTTACAGAAATCGTAGTTTATTCACTTTTCCTCCTAGCAAAGTAAGACATAATGTTTAGTTCATATGTCATTAGTATATAGGCTGTGATTATGAATAAACTTAAGAAAAAATAAAATGTTTCTTTTTATATCAGATACTTTAATAATCATATTCTTATCTGTTACAAATTTGTATTCTTGTATACAGTACAATAATGATTTGAATGTTTTTTGTTCTAGGTTCGGCAAGTGCAGTTATTGTATCAGAAGCACTCTCTTCTGCTGTTGGTACATACACATCCGCTGACAGAACGCTAGAATGTGAAATAAACGTACCAGATGTTTCTAAAGCCGTCTGGGTGTGTCCGTCTTTCAACACGATCCACTTACTACAGTGTCAAAGCATTGCATTTTACTTACTCGCCCCAAAGCCTGTCGGAAATAACCTAACTTTTACGGATTCAGGTATTAAAAAATGCATGTTGAATTGTTCTTAATTTCCCGATCTTTATTGATATTAAGAGTGTAATACACACGTAAAGAAATTAAACATCAGTAATATAAATTTTAAAATTGTGTTTTTTTTGGCAGTGACATAAGAAATCCTTTTGTAGGTGAAACATTGTATATTTTAATTCTTACATAGATATTTACAATGTGACATGAAACAATTTACGTTCAATTATCTGTTTTTACACAGAAAAGTCTAACCACATGCAGCTGGATTAAGTTAACGCATTTGAAAACGAAGAACAATTTTTAAATAAACCCACTTACCGTTCTATTCTGATGAATCAGGCGTATAAATAAACCCACATACCGTTCTATTCTGATGAATCAGGCGTATTAATGTTGAAACAAGTCGGAATTTACTGTACATTTCAGTCTTAGTTTTTTTTGTGTGACAGTGATTTATGTATGTGACACGACTCATGTTTGAACATTTCGACTTACACATATATATGTTTCGTACCACGATTAAATTACACTTTACAGTTCTTATCTGAAGTATTTACACTCAAATATGTTGTTTCTGTAATCTATATGCCTCGCTCACTTTCAGTACTTTCGGTGCTTTGATTTGTTTAAGGTCGACGTTTGTACGTAGATTTTGACATGGCTGTAGAATCAAGTGTAAATGCACCTTGTTCATCATATTTCACTGACGTAAGTACGCTTGGAGTAGAGCCTAAATGTTACTTTGACGATGATGGTGATCAGTTGTCAATATTGCTTGGTGATAGCAGCACGGCAAACCCAGGTGCGGTTATTATTCTAGTCTTACCTCTTAATATACATCCAGTCCACTGATACGCTTGTATCAAATTTATACATGTACACTTATTCAATACCTACACAAAAATCATATTTTAAAATATATTCATCGAATAAGAATTTGGTCAACACATGGTGGTTATACAGTATCCCTGATAATTCATTCCATTTTGTTGAGCTACGTTTAATGTTTTTTTCCTATTGAGGATTAGTATATTTTATCTGATGGGGACAACATTTAAGGGACATGGAAGGTTCGAGTCTCCCCAATGTTTGAAAGCATCAGTTCATTTCAAATATTATTCTTTTAACCATGTTAAGGTTAAGAATCTAAAATTTGATTTCAGTTTTTCGGGAATAAGAAAATTGGACGTTAACTATTGAAAGTATATTCTTTTTGCCATAAATAAATAGACAAATTCCAACTGAATATGAAAAAAATTATTCCTGTAATATAGTACGAATTTTTAACAAATGTCGTTTTTCTATTAACCAATTTTCGCGTGTTCCTATTTTGAAACAGGTGATACTTTAGAACTTAAGGCCGGCCTTAAAGCACGTGTAGGGGAATTCAGACGGGAATCATTGGCTGTGACGTTGACACTTCTAGTATCACCGTCCCCTTCGTCATCGTCTGGTGATGAAATTGAGAAAATTGAGATTGCAAAAGTAGGTTTTTGGCCGGAGAAATTGTCAGCATCAGCGGAAAGTCCAATTAGTTTGGAAATAGAAATAGTTAACTTACCAGGCGGCAGACCACAGAAATCTATAGTTTGGTCTGTTAATGAGGAACCTATAGGTAAGGTGACAAATGTTATTATTATAGCATGATAAATAATTTTATCTCACACCCGTGCCGATTTTGCGACTCCGTAAAAACGGTTTTGCACGGCCGTGCATATATTTTGACGTGACGTCATTTACGTTTTATAATACTGCACGTTTGTAACGTCGCTTTTCATTGGATAATCGTGACGTTTATATAGTTTTTTATAATACTGCACGTTTGTAACGTCGCTTTTCATTGGATAATCGTGACGTTTATATAGTTTTATATACACGGCTGCTGTCGATTTATAGAGAAATCTCGCTTTATTCCTCTAAAAATGATGCTTGCTGTATTATAAATTCGTTATAAAGATTGTTGACATGTTATATGGCCGTATATAAACGGCTGTTTGCAATATAACCCTCGCCTAGCGGCTCGGGTTATATTTACAAACAGCCGTTTATATAGGGCCATATAGCCTGTCAACAATTTTTATAACTAATAATATACACGGCTACTGTCGATATATGAAGAAATCTTACTTTTTTCACTAAAAAATGTGCGTGCTGTATTATAAATTCGTTGTAAAGATTGTTGAAAGGTTATATGGCCGTATATAAACGGCTATTTGCAATATAAATATATTTACAAATAGCCGTTTATATAGGGCCATATAACCTGTCAACAATCTTCATAACTAATAATATAAATATAGCGTAAGACGCGCTAAATGTAAGCGTTATACTATAGGCGCGTCAATGGAAAATGTTTCTTTATCACTTCAAACGGTCTTTATTTTATGTATGTGATAAATAGAATATTAAATTCGTGTAAGTTCATTACTAAATTTATTGAACTCGTAGAATAAAAATATATTATTCTCGCCAGAGGCTCGCATAATATAATTTTATTCAACTCGTTCAATAAATTCAGTATTAAACTTACACTCATTCAATATCCTCTATTTCTCATTATAATTATATTATTATTGTTGTAATTAGTAAACTTAATATTAATATCTTTATGTATAAATTTATTAAGAGAGGTTATAGTTCTGTAGAACAGTAAATTGGACAGTTTCTATGCCACAAATACGCTCGCTATAATTGAATTCATTCATATTCACTTACATCAACTACATCATACTTCAAAATTAAGGCTATGAACATTGTTTTATTTGGAATTTAACTAAATCTGCAGCCTTGTAAACGATGCTTTTTAAACCAATCTATTGGACAATTATATAACCTTGACATAGAATATAGAATTCAAAATCAAATGCAGTTTTAATACGTGTAAAACGTGTAACAATACGTAAATTAATTGTTATTTTGAGAATTAAAATGTCTTATGTTACAGATGAAACAATTCGACATGCATCTCGTATATTTGCTTAGATAGTTATACTAGTAAGTTGACAAATCATTAGCTTTTGATGATCAGGTCATGTCATCGATACGAAATTGACGAAAGGGGCCGACGTTATACGAAATTATAATGTATTATATGAGCCGTGTCATGACAAAATCAAATTAATGGTTTGCGACCAGCATGTGATCTCAGACCAGTCTGCTGCATTCCGTTGCAGTTCTGACAGATCATGCTGTTTCGCTTACCAAAGTTATACAATAGGAACTGATACAGTCGAACAGCATGGATCCTGATCAGACTGCGCGGATGCGCAGGCTAGTCTGGATCCATGCTGGTCGCAAACGCATTACGTTGGTTTTGTCGTGACGCGGCTCATATATATTTACCTCTGTTACACAGAAGCTGCTAAAGATAAGTTTGTCCTCGTACTTGACATCACAGAGAATAGAGAGTATGACATCACAGTTACAGTCACAGATTTTCTAGGTGGTACAGATGTCATTCAGCATACGCTAGTGAAAACAAATGATAATTTACCGAATGTTGATTTCTCCTCGAGCGGTATATATCAGGGATTTGGGACCAAGTACCTTATATTTCCAAATACAATGTACGTTGCCTTTTCGTACTTTAAACACGCAATTTGCTGAATGTGTTTACCTTTATTTAAATAAAACAGTCTATTCGAATTTTAAGTGTTTTTTTTTTATATCAAAATACGAAAGTTTAGTTTCCCACAGTATAGACCCTGGTCAGATTACACGAAAGTTAGGCTTGCCTCGCTCTGTAGTTGTGGGAAAGGCTATCACTTTCGATTGCTGAAGCTTAAGGGTTAATTTTAGAAAATAGCACTGTTTAAAAGTATAAAAAGAGAACCTGATTTACAGGATATGGTTTAGGTGATGAGTTTTGAGAAGGACCTAATTAAAAGTTTCAGAATTTGCATTTAATAACATGTGTTGTACGTAAAGAGACGTAAAATCTGGCGTTTCAGCGAACAATTTAAAAAATACCTTAAATTCAGTAATGTTATTTAAACTTATTTTTCTACTGTATGCCCTAACAGTATACCAACATGTCAACTAGCGTTTTGTTTAGTTTTTACTTGCCATGAAATTTGGCTAACAACAGTATGAGTTGATTTAGAAATGCAGAAGTCAGTCATTTAATGTAAACAATTATTCCTTAGAATAAATATACATATATTACAGTTTACAATATAGACCTTTTTACAGTACGATTTTCCATCCAACGTATGTTGCATTTCGCGCATGCGTTTCATTATGTTCTTGCGTAGAAAAAATAGAAAATTAAGATAAAAAATCCAAATATTTTTAGTAATGCAATGTCATATGTACACATTCACAGGACGCATGTTTGATATCTAAATATATATATAATTATTATGTTTACTTTCATGTCATTGTATTTTTCATGTCATTATATATGTATGCTTGTATATATGTTAATCACGAGAAACTTGTAATTTAAGTGAAATAAACGTTCTTCTTCTTCTTCTTCTTCTTCTTCTTCTTCTAAAACGTTTTGTACATGCTAAAGGACAACTAATTATACGTTTACCTTAAGTTTGTTATATATTCATTTTCAGTTTTACAATCTCTACGAAATTGATATACCCTGAAGGCACTACCTCAGACGACTATAAGTTCCAGTGGACAAGGAATGGTGTTCATGTACCAGGACAATTTATATATAGGTCAACTGCTGATGAAACAACCATTGAAATGTGTAAGTATGACACTGTAAGAAAATATGTACCCCCTTGTCAGATGCTGGTTTGACTCGATGGCATTACAGCGGATTATGTTTAAAAATCTGAGTCGTGTCACGACAAAACCAACATAATGTGTTTGCGACCTGCATGGATCTAGACCAGCCTGCGGTTGGGTTCTAAGGATATTGCCCCGAATTGTGTAAAACGCATTTCGCCCAACCAAACAGCGGCACCAAGATTTTATTGAAACATTGGTATTGATATATGGAAGGTTGTATTTTCTTTTATAACTTTTTTTATTTAATATTTCGTTTTTATTTTTAGAGGAGTACTGAACAGCCCCGATTCTATTCAGCATTCTATACATATAATGTTTCTTTGGAAAAAAACAACAGAATTTGATATCGTAAAGTGATTCTGAGTTGGAATTTCTGCCTCTTTTCAAACAGTCTACAAAATTTACTAACTTGGCCCAGTCCGCGATTGATTTCTACCTCATGCACTTAACAAAGTGAAACCTGGTATACGCACCGTCTGAAATAGGTATTCTGTACCAATTACAGTATGATAGAAGCTAACCATAAAGAGCAACCTTTGGTCCTGTCCTGGTTGGTGTCCTACTTGGCTCTGGCAAGTGGTCCTGTGTTGTGGGATGAGTTCAGAAAATGTCACCCTTCCTTATTAATCTTGTTTTTCAGATCTTTTTGGCACCGATGTTGCTTAAAATCGTTCATTTATTATAAAATAGAAAAAATATCCATAAAGAAGTTTACAAAGATAAAAAATCAAAGCACAGAAGGCGCTGAATTTGTTTATGTATCAGAATGTTAGAAAGGTGAAGGTTGTGAGATTATAAACCAATTTGTTTTTGTATAGTGCCACCAATGCTTTCCAGCGTTTTAATTGTAGTAAATTGGCTATAAGACTTATTGCAACACTGATATTCAATTCAATGTTTATTTGACTTATATAATAAACGATTTGAAAAAAAACAACAAACAACGAGTTGCCTTAATTGGGATTTGAACTCCAGACTTCTCGCTTCCTAAGCGAGCGCGCAAACCCATCGGCCACGGTGAAGTTATATGTTAACGGACTGAAGAAAACCATATTATTCTAAATTAGGGTTTGTAGCCCTTATTATTTCGACGCTAACTGTTGTTTAACACAGATGTAAATAATCATGGAGATTACTATAAACATGTATATCTATAAAGAATAAAACAATATTAGAAATCTTCAACAATTCGGGAACTTTTTTGCTTTGACAATTAATGCGTCTGTCATTTGACCATCTTTACGCAGTGATCTCCTCTGAATTTTAATGTTCATATAAAGGGAAGTAACCGCTTCAAAAAAGCGGACTTCTTTCGGCATTTGCAATTAACAGCATCAGGGTCTTAAATTTCGCTACCATTATTTGTTTGGTCTGACGACCAAAACAAATTAAAAACACTCACAATTTCTGAAACCTATGTAAATATTTGATGATGTAATATTTCATGAAAAATATGGACATAATAAACTCTTTGTTATGTAACAGGTGACGAGAAGGTGGTTTACACTATAAAAGTCAGTACAACAAATGAATTGAAATCTATAGAATACACTTTAAATGTGTGGGTCTTTTGTAGGAATCCGATTGCGGAAATATCAGGTAATAACAAAATATGTTGTCGTTCTAAATTTATGCGATTGCTTATGCATATTTAAAATGTGTTATATTGTTTTAAATAGAATTGCAATAGGAGTTGATAATTTATGTATTTATAATTTAAAAAACAAACATGTGCAAGCAATCGATGATTGTATGTTCTACCATTGTTTGTCTTTGTTTATTATTGTTATATTTCATATGTAGTTTGTTTCTAAACCTATACTCAAAGGTATATGCCTTCAAATGTTATTTTTATAATAGTAACTAGTTTACTATTTTTCTTTCGAAAACAACGGGTTTGACTATTATTAGAAACGTTGAAATATTTAAACATTTTAGGAAATGACCTCAGAAATGTTGACGTCAGGAGTGACGACGTAACACTTTACGGTTATTCGTCCAGAGATCCCGATGGCGGGACGCTTACTTACGAATGGACGTGTTCTACGCTGGAGAATCCGGTAATAAGTGTTCCATTGTTTGATGTACATGTAAAGATAATTTAGTATTTGACTGATGTTTCAACCAATAAAATGTGTGAGGAAAACTATTTGCATTCTTCATTCTTGTAAACCATCGCACATCTTGGACAACCATTTTTCTTTACATTCCACATAACTCATTACACAAAAGGCAGATAATTCAGTTAAAATCGCATGCGATAAAAGCTTACAAATTCATCAAAATAACATATTGATAACGTTACCATTTTGACAGCAATGTATTAATGGTGTTACAAAATCCGAAACCACCACTGCCTCGTCAATTACAATATCGCCATCCAAAATGAAGGCCGGCAAGAAATACGCAATATTCCTGACAGTAAGGGTGAAAAAGACAGGCAAATTTTATAATCACACAGACAGAGTTGTATTTGCAGTCCAAGCTGGAAACAGGCCTGTGGTATGTTTAACACTTGTGAAGTATTTAACGCTTGAAAGTCGTTGAAGGATACATTGAAAATGTTTCAAACTAGTATTAATTCAGCATATTCGTAGATGCATGATTCCGTCCGAGACCTTAGGTACTGGCCGTCTTCAGCTCTTCAGGAAAACAATTGTGAGATATAGTATTGAGTAATATCTGCAGATTTGTTTTTTCTTCTTCTGCAAGACTGTATGTATGGAGCATCTTTGTGGTTGACCTTTTAACTTTTGCCATTAATAGTTTTTACTTCTAAAAAAAGCATCAGGGAATATGTTATTAACGAATTTCCTTATATTTGATGCTATTAGCGTTTTGTGTTGACTTAAAGAACGAATCTTACAAAAGGTAATTCAATATGTACAATATGGTTTTATTTTAATGTAACATAGATACGATGGGTAACAATGAGAACAAAATTCCGACATGACGTCCCAATAATGATGCGAGCATACGTAGGTCATGACGTCGAAGTAAAATGGAAATTCCGAGATGATCTTAGTCGTAAATATGCTTTACATAATTATCTATTTTTATTAAATTAAATTTATAGTACTGTGTAGTATAACAAATTAAACCTTTAAACGTCGGTTTATTTGGTGCAAAAATAGTGTAAAAATGCTTGAATAGGCGATACAGCTACAGCTACTAGTATTATTGCTAATGAAAAAAACAACAACAAAAATGAATTCAAATATAAAATAAAAGTATTACAAGCGTTTCAGCTGTTTAATGTATATTTTCTCGAAAACGAACACAGACTTATAATCTGGGCGAATTGTGGTTGGTGTGTATTCATGAGGCGTCTTATCAACGAGCCCATGAGGCGTCTTATCGGCGAGCCCATGAGGCGTCTAAGTATCTACTAGCCGATAGTTACGATTGTAACTTTATGTGGTTGTGTTAGAAAGTTTCTGATTATTTTACTTCAGTGTACGAGTATATAGACAGTAAAAATAGATCAATAGGAAAATCAAGGATGACAGACGACGGTTTTGCATGGTATAGAATACAAGAAGGTACGTGTGTATTTATAATACATAATAGTTAAACAAGTTTAACTGCTGAGTTATAATTTAATTATTTAATTTTACCCATGAAATATGGTGCTATGTCAGTCAAATATATTTCATATTTTTTAAAAATAAATATGAAATATATATGAAAGTGGGCGGAGTCAAAAACTCATATTTACTTTAAGGGACTTCTTTCGTCGTTTTGTTTGAAAAAATGTGATAAATACAAAACAACTTTTTCTTAAATTTTGTTTTGAAAACTATCTAGAATGATAGAAAATGGTCTAACTAAGAAAATTAATCCGAATGCCAATATCTTTAATTCAGTAATTAACGCTGTACAGACGTTTAAAAAGTTGTTTACGTGACGTCACAATGTAGCGCCAAACAGCGCGTGCTTACGCATAAACTACTGCGCGCTGTACAATTGTAGTTTGGTAGTAAGCAAGAGAATTCGTTACAATTTTCTTTGATAATGAAATTAAATAAAAAGGTTATTTTTTCGTTTTTCGTGAAATATAGTATATATTTTCACTCAACATGATCAAATGCCACATATTTTCACTCGCCGTACCGGCTCGTGAAAATATGTGGCATTTTATCATGTTTCGTGAAAATATATAACATATTTCACGCAAACGAAAAAATATCCTCTTATTATTTAGTGTTTTTAGCCTTTCTTCAATTTTAGTATATTCATGCCTTATGAGCATAACTCCTCTACATCTTGGCTGAAACATGCTCCATTCCGTCGAATACATAGAATACATATACAAACATATCATAAAATTAATTATATAATTCACGGACTATAAGAAATTCTTCATAATGGTTTCCTTTTATACTTTCATGATTATTTATTTTTTAACACTAATTACGCACATGTGCATAATTTTAATTGGGTTTGTTGTTAAAATAATTAATGACATTAAGACGCTATAGTTTCTTCTAAGATAGAAAAGAGATATAATCTTTATAAGTCATTAGAAAAAAACCCAAAAAACAAATCACTACATTCAATCTACATAATTATATTACACAATCTCAGACCTGACAAAACATGAAACAAAACATGTTTGCATATATTTACAATATCAAAATGTAGCTTAATATACACTTGAACAAATGAACTTAACAAACCGCATAAAATTATTTTTTCGATGTTGTTCACAAATTTGAAAATCTTCTGAAAGATCTACCATATGTACCAAATTGATAAAGATAACGTAAAGAAAAACTTTTCTTCATAATTTTTGTTATGTTTTACGCCCGTATTTATTGTAAATATTACTGTTTTAAATAAACGTTACTTTCGTCAACAATGATTAATCATTCTCAGCCATAAGGAGAATCGTATGGCACTTGCCAGAATTTCAATAAAATATGGCAAGATTCAATACTGTTGACAGTTCCTTCCGCAACAAAGCTGAAATTAACCCCGATTCTATTACAAATGTTCAGTATAGAAAGTATTAATGGCAATACAATGTGGTTATTTTTATTAAGTGATATAATTTTTGACTTTTTTCTACTTCAATTCAGGTGTTCTAAAGCCAGGTAAGCAGTACAAACTACATATTAATGTGACCAAGACAGATTCGGGATTGTCTTCCACCGACGAACGTGACATTTACGTGTATGCACTTCTCCGAGGGTGTTCCGTTGAAACAAATGCAATAACAGAATTTGAGGAAGTTAGTACATTATAATCACCACACGTCTCATCCGCAAGTTTTCCAGATTTATAGCAAAGAATTATACTTGTAATGTTTGATGAAAGATAGTATTTTATCCAAAAACTGCATTTTATTCACGACAAAAGAACCTAATACAAATCTGATTGAGTTTGATTGGAAAAATAGAGGACTATAGACACACCAGATCCGTCCTTGGAGCCAATCAAACGAACTTTATTACATTTATATTGTTAGTATTAAAAACTACCGAAAAGAATAATATGTACTGTAGCCTAATGCATTTTGCTTATAAAGAAGCGTGCTAATTGCTTGAAATAATAAAACACCTGACAAAGTTACGTGTTAAGATTTAGAATTTTATTATCCAAATTTTTCTTTGAAAGGGCAAAAACATGTATCAAGTCATTATAATAAACATACGAAAGCAATTAAGAAACATTTATATGTTTTCCTGTACTTTCAGGCCACCATTTTGCTAAGAAATTGCGCGGAAGACAAGGATGTTGAATGGAAGTCCATTATGTGTACGGAGGGTGACAGAGAACTACATATTTCAAAGGAACATACTTTCATTGTCCCTAGATTTAAATCAGATGTAAACAAAGTCATCCTGAAATGCAAGGTAAATTAAGTACCTGTCTTACAATAACATAGATGTGATTGCATTGTGAAAGCTTACAATTGTTTATGTACACGAGGAGCGAAGAACTAAAGTCTACAAATAAAAATTGTGTTCTGTAATATACGGATACTTAAAGGATGATTTAACGGCTGAGAAGAAGAAATTAACATACATTGCAAAAAAGATAGACTGTAGTGTAAAACTGATTATAAGATAATGTGAGTTAAGCAACATCTGCAGCACCGTAAGTAAAAGTTAATAAAGTGATCGGCAGCTATTTCAAAGCAAGCTAACCATTCCCTCGCAGCCATTTTACGCGTGCATAAAACTTCGCTTGTTCTTATATGTATGATTTGAGTATCCACACAAAGTCAATCATGATTTATATAAACAGAATTTGCTACAAGTTTAATGTTCTATTTTCATGAAATGGTTTATGTACTTCATTTTTATAGATAATGGATAATTTAGGAAATAGCATGATTGCTGAACCTAAAGAAGTAGTTGTGAGAAAAACCGCAGAAGAAACTACAATGGACAAGATGATTGAAGGTCTAAAACAAAACGGTAAGTTCTCGTACTTGAAACATTCAGATATCAGGATACATGTAAGTGAAAACTTAATATAAGATAAAGACAGAAATCAAATTGCAAACTATATTATACAGTATAAGCCAGTTGAGGGAAATTCAGATTGACAATAACATTTGCAAACTACATAAGTACCTAACTAACTTACATTCTTACTGGACGTTTTCGTCTACTTACACCAGAACTAAAACTGCATCCACAACAGTTGAACTAAATGATATTAAAAATAAATTAATTACTATTTCTAATTACATTAAATTTGAAAATCAAATATCCTATTATACTCGTATTTCTCTTTTTTGACGTGCTATATTAAATACATTATATTCTTACTCATTTATAATCATCATCTATCAATTCACTTATTTGAGTTTTATATCTTACCTGATTGTTTTTTTTCCAGAGACAACTTTTTATGCGGTACAAACATGTATTTGTCAAAGAACTACAAAATGAAAAAAAAAACTTGGTCTTAAATGACGTAATCTAAATCACACTGATATGGTATTCATTTTGTTTAATAAAATGAACACTTATACCATTTTTTTCAATATTTTACAGGTGATAAAGTTAAAGCTTTGGCTTTGATATCAGAGATGGCGGATGAAGATGAATATAGAGGAGACGAATCACTGAATACTAAAGCTGTTGAACTTATTAAAGAAATCATCGATGGTAGCCCGTCTGACGATGATATAAGTATGTAACATACATGCAATCATATTTTACGTACTTCGAATCATCAATTCCATTAATTATTACTTTAAGAGTTGCAGATTGAATACTTGACCTGTTGCTAGGGGGCATTAGGGTTGTTACTCTTTGCGTTATCTTTGTTATCTCTCATGAACAAACTCAATCTTCTCTTTCCAAACATAGTTTTTAAATTTCATTTGTTCCCAATGGAACTTCTTTTACGAAAAAATGTTCTCTCCTTTACACTTGTTTTGTGAATATGTTTACTTCTTCGCCTCCTTTGCAATAGTTGGGTTTACTTGAAAAAGGAACAAACCTCTCGTTACAGGTATCAAAGTGTTAATTGTTTACAATGTAAGAGCATGTGTAAGCTTCATAGTGAAATAAACTTTAAAAGGAAAACGTTGTATAATGCCTTGTAATTTTATACTATTACAAGGCATGGTATTCTTGAACTACAATTAAATTTGCTACATCACATGTGCTCGTGGTTTTAATTGAAATAAATTTGAAATATTTTACTTTTTGTTTGTTTTTGTTACTGCATTTATCCATGCAGTTATTTCATCAGCTGTTTTTATAAATTATATTATAGAAGTGGCGACACATTGGCATCAACCACCTTTGCCTTCACAACTCACAACGTTTTTTTTCTGCTTAGTAAACTTATATTTATACAAGCAGGTCTGCTGTTTGAAATAGAGAAACCCGAGTCCCTAGAAAAAGCCCAACACGTAAAAGTTGAAAAATGTTGCAGGTTCGGTTTGATTGAGCATGTTCATGGACGGTACTGGAAAGTGCAAGTTACCGTCCATGAACCTGGCACCGTCTTAAGCAGAAATCAACATTTAAACACGAAAATGGTTAAATTATGAATTTTGAAACATCCTCATATGTTCATACGGCGGTTATGATGTGACACAGAAAGCTTGGACACTATCCTGTGTTTTCCAGTACCGTCCACGAACAGACTCAATCTAACCAAGCATGCGACACTTTCAGTTTTGTCGTTTCGAACGTTCTTAAAGAATTCCTATGTTTTCTTTTTTTCTTTTGTCATCAAGATGATTTGCGAATATTTTCAGATTTCTCATTGAAAAGCTATGGCAAATTAAATGTTGACAAATTGAAGGCAGACGACAAAAAACTACTGGCAGATGACCTGGTATCAATGTTAGATAAACTTTGTCATGCAGACCAAACTGATGCAACCACATTTGATGCTGAACAGACAAAGGTAAATCTTATTTTTTAAAGAAAACATTTTTTTTTCATATATATGTCCAAGGATGTTCAGAAAATCACATTTTATTACACTCATTTCACATTTCATATATCTGGCAAGTCAAAATTATTGTTATAGTATGTATATACTAGTAATACAACTCTGCTGAAAGGTATGCTGTTATATATAAGCTTTTGGTTCCAATAGAGCCAGCAGGTCAAATTAAAAACTTCAATAAAGAAGTCACGTGAAATCAAAAAAGTTGGTTACTCTTCTTCACACAATACGACCAGTTTTAGTACGATAACAGCATTAATATTAATCCTAGTAAGCATTTCTATATCTTTGCATAATTGTTTCCTCACATGTCATCATAAAAGTTTTATCTATAATAGCCAGTAATCGACTTTCAATTTTACCAAGGTTTAAACATTATATTTACATCTACATTGAATGTAGATTTGTTAAGCGTATCATGCTTTTTATATGAAAACATTCGCATTGACGCTCAGTCATGTCTACGTCCCCGCGAGGGGTTTAACATTAATGTAACATTGATTGCCTTCTTATTTTGATTCTTCTATTTGATAGAGTTTGTCTTATCATTACATATATTTCTTTTTCATGATGATATTTAATTGCAGCACATTCTGCGGAATATTAAGCGGCTCATGGCAAGTAATCCCAAGACGCTAGGCAAATTGTATAGGCAAGCCGAGGAGAAATTTGCTTGTGTTAAGGTATAGTTCAACTTGAAATACGTTTATAAAAATATTCGCACAATATATCTCCAAATATAAGCCTCCCTGAAATCAGAGAGCATTTATTTGATAGAAATACTGCTGACTCTATAAATGATGCGATGAGTGGATTGAAATATCCTATAACTTGCCACAACTGGCCATAACACCAATTCGAAAATATATGTCGGCTAAAGATTCAAATATTGCGTTTCAATATTGAAATACATATTGTCATTCTTTACACATCAACACATATTTGTACCTATAATAAGATACATGTGTACTCTGCAGCATTACAGTGTAGAAACTCTAATATCGTTGCAGTTTAAACGAATGAGAAACGAAGATTCTGAAATTATCAGAGACGAAGATGGGACGAAGCATGCATATCTTGTTACTGTGCTCGAAGACATTCCTGAAGAACTTGGTTTTGAATTTCCGGAAGAGCTGAAGGAAAGGTAAATCATTTTAAAGATATAGAGGCTGTGTAGCGGTTTAAAAGGGATCAAAACTTCATCTTTGTGTGGTTACATTTGTCTGGTTTGTTAGTGTATAGGATTCGTGATTGTGTAAAATAGAAGAGATAGAACCCCTAAACAACGTCTAGACAAAACAGAAAATATTGCAGGCCGGTATGATTGAGCCTGTCCATGTAAACGTGCAGTATTATACATTTTTTATAACATGATTGCTGTCAATATATGAAGAAATCTCATATTTGTCTCTAAAAAAGGGAAGTTTTCTGCATTATAAATTCCTTATAAATATGCATAACTGGTAATATGATCGTGTAAAAACGGTTTTTGCAATATAATCCTCGCCTTTCGGCTCGCGTTATATTTTCAAACAACCATTTATATAAGGCCATTTAACCTTGCAAAAATCTTATAACTGAAAATGTATATGTGAACATATGTAACACAAACAGTCATTAACAGATTTAAGTTAAACAACTTTCTTTCTTACTTTTTTAGGTTGATTTAAATTTCATTTGTTTCTTAAGTAACTTAGTATTAATTATTCTAACCGATTTTCTTAAGTAACTTAGCCATTGCTCTGTTCTCGTATACTTGGCGTGTTATAGATATAGGGACCAATGGAATTGTAAAGAGGCAGAATCTTGCTTTGGTGTTGGGGTCATAATGGAGGAGTATCCATCCGAGCCACCGGACCTTCTTCGATATAAAAGAGCAGACGATGGTTGCAGGAAACATGTAATCTTAAAGTTGTATAACCCTTCAACAGGTAAATTGATGATCATGTTTTACTTATATTCTATATTCAAATTAATTGAATGAACATGTCATGGTTGAATATAAACTTTAGTTACTTACATTAAGTATTAAGCGTTCTAGTCTGTAAGTTTATGCTTGAAAATCTGTGACCACATTAATGATGAATAGAATTGACTTAAATAAAGGCTTCGTGGCGCAATGACAGTTGTTGTAGTTAATTCTAGTCTATTTTCTTTACATTTCAACCCATACATACTTAATTTGGACATTTTTCATTGATCATTTACGTTTACGCTTCACAATGACATATGTAAAATTCTTCGTTCTGTATTTTTGCTAAAATAGTTTTGTAATATAATGTTTCCTGTCTATAATTTTATAAAATATATATTTCTATTGTTAATGCAGGCGAGGGTATCGACATTAACAATTTAGAAGGAACAATAAATATGAATCTAGGATCAAAGTGTAAGAGAGGAAAGTGTTGGTACCGGGATGAACTACTACAACGATACAGCCAAGATGGTGTTACAACGATTGTACGGGACAATGGGGACATTATATGTCAGTCAAATCATCTTACAGCTTTTACAGCTGAAAGTGGTAATTTGTTGATATATTAATATATTTTAATATCCTAAGAATTTTCTCCTCCAAACTCGTACAATTTAAACTGAATATTAACTCGACTGATTTAAGATATTACATGATAAAAATATTATACAATAGTTTTCAAGGAATAACCTCTGATATACAATGTATAAGCACGTTAAATAGTATATACAACTCTCTGAAATAATATTTTTGTTTATGTCACATTTAACAATGTTTAAGATACATTCAAAATACCTTAATCTAACTAAATTTTCCTGAAAATTGAAGCAACGTAAGTAATTTATTTCAAGATATTTAAGATTTAAATACAATCACTTTCTGATCGTTTTATATACAAAACTCCTGTTATCCTTTTTGCATTATTTTTATTCCGTTATATTATCTACGATTTATTTGTAAACTGTAGTAATTTGAATGTTTGATGAATTCGGAACGATTGACAACTACTATTACGTTACACCTCTTTAAGTAACATCAATAGTTCAAAATAGGGTGTTGAAATGATCCCTTATTATAAAGAATGATATAGTTATCATCAAATTTACACAAGGTTGACAAATTTGTTGATTATGAAAGTAAGTGGAAAATTTCTGCTTTGCAGAAGTATATATTATACTGAGTTGCCTTTGGATGAAGGTTTTATTGATTTATACTTTGGAAATGGTGTCTGAAATTGAATAAAAATAATGAAAGTATAATTGTATCAAGATATTTTATAGTCACTGCCAGACGTGTCAGAAGATTTAAAACATAAATTTAAATGTAAATTTGCTAAAAAAAAACCGTGATACACACACCTTTTCTTATAGTACATTCCAATAAATAAAACATTTCATAGAGGAAATAGCATTTGTTTTTAGTTTTCTTATCAAAATATAAGAGCAGTTGAACAATTTAACTACTTTTGGAAACTCCGTGATCTGTAAACTGGAAAACTCTAAAGACAAATTATTAATTTTTGGAATGAACTAGTCACTAAAATTGAATTCGATATTTAATTTGATTTTTTTTCTTCTTCAGAGCCTGAGCCGTTTAAAGGTTTGTACACTTAACATGTTTCTCATGTAAATTGAAAAAAAAAATGCTTAAAATATGATGATTATAAAATTCAAATTAGAAAACAACTTTACATGGAAACAACTGTTAAGAAGTGATAACATATACGCGCATTCACTTCTTATTATAATAACAAGTTTTGTTATTTCAACAATATTTGATCCATTGTTGTTGAAATTATACAAGAATAAGTTTAATTGAATATACGCGATCATAATCGAATCTAATTCTTATCATTTTTCGTTATAATTGTAGGATTAAATCTTCCCTATGTGATATCGTTATGTGTAGGAGGAATACTACTCTTGGTATCTCTAGTGATTCTCGTGAAGCTGTGGCTGGTAACAAAACATCGAGCCAATGCCGTTGAAGATGAAAAAGAGTTTGCACTGGATGATGTACCAATGTATAAAGACAACTCTCCTTCATTCAAAAAGCGCTAATAACTTTGAAACTATTTTGTTATTTAGATGCGTTTTTTTTCCTGAGTGATCATCTGTTATTATTTTAAGGACTATTCTCTTAATATAACATGTAACAACCAAGTGCTCGTTCAAAGGAGCAAAGAACACATTATCACTTAAATGGTTCTCCTACGTGTACAAAAGTAACAGTTGGCATAACAACGACCGGTTGCTATAGAAACATAACATAATTCATATGGTTGTCGTTTGTTCTGTGATACTCAAAAACCTGCAAACTAGCTTTCATTTAAATATTTTTTAACGGAACTTAGAACTTGGAACGGAGCTTAGACAATACTTGCTCATATGCTTCTTATACAAAATTATATAGTGTGCTCAGATGATTTTCCTTTACATTATAATGAAGTTAACTGTTTCTAAAATGTATAATATACCTCGAGTTGAAAATAAAATAAACAATAAAAATGTAATTAATGCAGCGAGAATTCCATGTCTAACAAATTTGATGAAGACAGGGTAAACTTAAGATATTTATAAACATGCCATCAATTCGTAACAATTTGAAATATAGAAAATCGTACTATGTGATTTTTTTAAAAGTATCCAAAAGGTATAATTTTACATAATTTATAATATATTTGATGATATATGTTTAATGTTATTTATTAACAATTTACACAATGAAATTTGAATACAAGCAAAACATTCGGTATGTGTGGAGAAATAGAAGAAACGTTTATTATAATTATTTTTCAATGTTTAAAACATGTTAGATGTTGTGTTGATTTTATATTGTTTTATAGTGTATGCGTCAATAGAACATTTCATTTATGTTAGTCAAAACGATGACAACTACTAAAGTTGTCTAATATGAAAGTGTTTTCATTGATAATTTATTTTTATACTTCTAATTGTTATCATTAAAAGTTTCCCGTCATTTCATGTTAATACAATCATAATTGCCATATTCTATTTTTGTGTGTAAACTTTTTTACAATTATCTGCATTATTAATAATAAAGCAATACCTTAGGATTGACAACACGACAGAATTAAAATTATACCGGTAATCTTTCAGGCATAGATTGTTGACATGTTGTAGTGAAGCATGCCTCTTCCTTAAATACATGTATATAACAAACCAAAAGTTTCGAAAATGATGGGTTTTATTTGTATTTGTTTTCAAAATTTTGTGTTGTTAATGCATTGGAGTATTTATAGTTCGGATGAAAACAATAACGTGTTTATGTAAAAAAATACTAATCCGGTTTTGTATTGGGAGAGGAGCATCGATATTTAGTCTAACAGATTTAACATTTATATTTAACCAATATTTTTGTGATTTTGTTTTCATTGTAAATATTTGAGTCTGAATTTAAGAATGTGAAATATCTATATATTCCACAATAGAAATAGGCATACGTATATATTAAGTTCCTTTTCTTGTGTTATCCAAGGTATGATGTCTTTGATATGGTTTCATTTCTTATACATGTTATTTTTGCTTTTCTTCAATTATCATGTATTGGATATGTTTTACCATGTTATTACATAATAATGAAATAAATATATCTGTGCATTAAAAACAGTAGATCAATAAAACATTTAAATGGTTCTTCCACTTTGATTTGGACTCGCCAATGTTTGTAATAAAACACGATTGATTTTATTTCAAACTTTATAACTGTTATGTTGAAACCTAAGTTTTGAAACACAAATACATTTTCTTTGTAGAAATTCTAATAAAATAACATATTTTTTTATGAAACCATCTGTTATGTTAGTACAGGTATGTTTCATTTTTGAACATGAAATATGTGTGAATTATAATTGCACCTCTTTACAGTTAAAGTAAAGCAATAACAATAATTTCATCTGGCAGCGAAAGTAGTTTAAACCTGTTATTAATAGTGTTTCCATTGTTGTAAATATATAATAATTTGTTCAAACACATGTTAACAAAAGTTCTTTAATTTGTAAAACAGTAAATGAACTAATATAGATGTACTTAACAATGTTATATGACCTAGCGGGTACAGTTGTTTAATACACCGATGCAAACTTTATAAGTTAAAATCCTCCGAGAAACATTGTCTTTTACATTAGTTATTTATTCCGCTAAGGAGCTAAACAATATTCCTTTGAAACAAAGCAGTTCACAATTTTCATTAAGAAATAACATACTGACCATAGCTTTCGCAGAAGAGGTAGGTCCATCGCGGTGGAAAGTGCGTTACGTCAAGTTAAACCCTCAAAATATTCATAAATGGTATCGGGCCCATTACACTGCGTTGCAATCGAATCCACCGCCGTCTGCGTTGAAATCAATTTTTTGTCATTTATTTTATAAACAGGCAATAATAATTTCCCAAATTTTCAAATTATGATTATTTTGTGAAAGTATCATTCATACGATGTGATGTCGTTGTATTATGGGTCGTTTTGCACGCATTTGTACGTGTTTTAACCAAAATTAGGCAAAAGTGGCGTACCCTCGTCAAACTGTGCAGAAGTGTTTGCATAAACGGCAATGAATTGCACCGTAAAGATGAATCATTTAAAATAAAAAAATATATATTAGAATTGTTTTAAGCAGGAAAGGGATGTTGTATAATTTCGTTATGTTTTATTTTTGCTTTCATTAAAGTATTTTGAAGATGTTTGTTTTATGTTTTTATTGTATTCTATCAGAATATACATTTACATTGAAAGAACGATGGGCTCGAGTTTATGCCGTGTTATGAGATTCTGATTATATTATTTTGCAAGAAATGCTGTTTGAATTAATTACAAAATAGTATTGCTGATATTCCATACAATTCATATTAAGTGTTATTGTAAAGATACATTTAACGTGTAAGGTTTAAGACTATTCCTGAAGAGCATTCATTTTCAGTAAGAAAGTGAGTTTACATGATATTTGGCGTGGGTTCAAACCCTACATTGGCCAAGTCATAGGGTAAGCCTTTCAAAAAAAAAAAAAAATAAATATTTAAACAAGAGGGCCATGATGGCCCTAGATCGCTCACCTGAATTATCAAACTCATCCAAACAATTACCTAGACAAGCATTCTGACCAAGTCTCATGACAGGTGAGTCAAAAATGTGACCACTACAGTGTTAACAAGGATTATCCATATTTGAGCAGTGCGACCTAGTTTTTTACCCAGGTGACACATATTCAAACTTGACCTAGAAATCATCAAAACAAACTTTCAGACCAATTTCCAGGATACTTGGATCAAAATAGTAGCAACTAGAGTGTTAACAAGATTTTTCTATTTTTAGCTCCGGTGACCTAGTTTCACATGCGATTTCGAACTCATCCAAGCAATTACCTAGACAAACATCCTGACCAAGTTTGATGATAATTGAGTCGAAAATGTGACCACTAGAATGTTAACAAGGTTTTTCCATATTTGGGCGGTGTGACCTAGTTTTTCATCCAAGATGACCCATGTTCGATCTTGACTTAGAAATCATCAAAACAAACTTTCAGACCAATTAACAGAATATTTGGATCACAACAGTAGCCACTAGAGTGTTAACAAGATTTTTTCTATTTTTAGCTCCTGTGACCTAGTTTTTCATCCGAAATGTCCCATGTTCGATTTATTCCCAGCAATGACCTAGACAAGTTTCCTGACCAAGTTTGATGACAATTGAGTCAAAATTGTGACCACTAGAGTGTTAACAAGGTTTTTCTATTTTTAGCTCCTGTGACCTAGTTTTTTCATCCGAGATGACCCATGTTCGAACTCATCCGAGCTATCACCTAGACAAGCATCTTGATCAAGTTTGATGATGATTGATGCAAAAATGTGACCGCTAAAGTGTTAACAAGGTTTTTCTATTTTTAGCTCTGGTGACCTATTTTTTTCATCCGAGATGACCCATGTTCGAACTCATCCAAGCTATCAACTAGATAAGCATCCTGACCAAGTTTGATGATGATTGATGCAAAAATGTGACCACTAGAGTGTTCACAAGGTTTTTCTATTTATAGCTCCGGTGACCTAGTTTTTCATCCGAGATGACCCATATTCGAACTCATCCGAGCTATTATCTAAACAAGCATCCTGACAAAGTTTGATGATGATTGGGTCAAAAATGTGACCACTAGAGTGTTCACAAGGTTTTTCTATTTTTAGCTCCTGTGACCTAGTTTTTCATCAGAGATGACCCATGTTCGAACTCATCCAAGCAATTGACTAGACAAGCATTCTGACCAAGTTTGATGATGATTGGTTCAAAAATGTGACCACTAGAGTGTTCACAAGGTTTTTCTATTTATAGCTCCTGTGACCTACTTTTTCATCCGAGATGACCCATGTTCGAACTCATCCAAGCTATCACCTAGACAAACATCCTGACCAAGTTTGATGATGATTGGGTCAAAAATGTGACCTCTAGAGTGTTCACAAGGTTTTTCTATTTTTAGCTCTTGTGACCTAGTTTTTCATCCGAGATGACCCATGTTCGAACTCATCCGAGCTTTCAACTAGATAAGCATCCTGACCAAGTTTGATGATGATTGAGGCAAAAATGCGACCGCTAGAGTGTTCACAAGTAATTGTGGACGGCCGGACGGACGACGGACGACGGACGACGGACGACGGACATTCACCGATCCTAAAAGCTCACCCTGAGCAAGCTCAGGTGAGCTAAAAAATCTATAATAAAAAAATATTTGCCCCTTTTGTTAATAGTGTAACGCGTACACTATAACTTTCAATTTGCGCACTTTTACGCTATGATTGTAAATGCTAGTGGCGCACCGTCAAATTATATGCACGGCCGTACCATACCATTTTTACCATTGGAGTAGCAAAAGCGGCATGGGTATGTGATAAATTGAATTATCATATGTAATGGTATAAAGTGCATCATGGTTGATATAATTTCCTTCGCTATAGATAGATATCCTTTTTATCAAGATTTAACACTTGCATCCCCGACAACCCATTGGAAGAACTCTACTTAATTTTCAATTATTATGTTTAAATAGTTTTACAGACAAATTTTTATTTATCTTCCTTTTATTACTTTCCGTCGTATTTACCATACACTACAGAACTTCATTTAGCACTGTTAAACCGGCGGAGAGTAATACTGACATATTAAATACGAGTCGTTGACCTCTTTTCTCTAATTAATGTAAACAGCTTCTTTAAATTTGGTTAAAACAATATTTATTTCTTCTTCCGTATTTTCAAACAAAATTTCAATACATGAATTGCACCCAGGATTGAGTAGAAAGCTTTTATAAAGCTTATATTACACTCTCTCCTGAATTGAAACAGTCATTTTGACATTGATGTCTTTTTAATTTTTATTGAAACAATAGGTTTGAAAATATCTTCACTTAAAATATTTGTCAATGCTAAAAAACTGTTAATATATTTCTTCTTTCCTCACATAATTGCAAGAAGAAATGGAATAAATCAAACCGATACACTGATAACAATTAGAAATTAACGTAACAGTGTCAAAAATCTTTTTTTCATATCGGTTATGAATAAAGCTAAAATAATCAAATAATTTAAGCGGTACTTTTTATCACAATATCGATAATTTTTTTTATAAAATTATGTAACACGTCACACAGCTTTCTACAATAGCAATGCACACTTGATTGGTATGAGTGTTAGAATCCTTATTTATTTCTCCAACTGCTGAAAAGAATAAGCACTCACGTTTTCACTTCCATGATAATAAACAACGGTATAAAACACATATCAAATCCATTACAGTGCAAAGAGATTTGATCAAGGTTAATTCTTTACCATTAAGAATAAAAGAAGTGTGCTCTTTACTTGCTAAGGGTAGATGTAATTGAATGTCTACTGATAGCAAAAATAATAATACGGAATTAAGCCTCAAGACCATTCTGTAATGTAATAGCGCATTTGATAAAGCTTATCACAACACTGTTATTATATTCTAAGTACAGTCTATCCATTTGGGTTTAAATAATTAAACAAATCTATTACTTTGTAAGTTATTACATAAAAACAGCCAGCTGAAGGCGTCATCATTAAGATATCACTACAACAAAAACTCCAGTTTCAATCATCGTTATCACCCGGATATATCCGAAGTACCTTCTTACCATTTGGGTTTAAATGATATATTAAACAAATCTATCACTTTGTAAGTTATTAGATAAAGCAGCTAGCTGAAGTCGTCAACATTCGTAGCGTTTTTCTTAAGTAACTTAGCCATGCTTATTCTAAGCGTTGTTGTGCAATATGTGCTTGGTGTGTTAAAGGTATAGGGACCAATGGAATTGTAAAGAGGCAGAGTCTTGCTTTGGTGTTGGGGTCATAATGGAGGAGTATCCATCCGAGCCACCGGACCTTCTTCAATATAAAAGAGCAGACGATGGCTGCAGGAAACACGTAATCTTAGAGTTGTATAACCCTTCAACAGGTAATTTGATGATCATGATTTACTTATATTCTGTATTCAACTTAAATGAATCAACTTTAGTTACTTATTAAGCGTTTTAGTCTGTAAATCTGTGACCACATGAATGATAAATAGAAGTGATAAATAAAGGCTTCGTGGCGCAATGACAGGTGTTGTTAAAAATTCAAGTTTATTTTCTTTACATTTTGGCTAAATATACTCGATTTGGACTTTTTTCATTGACTATTTCACCAAGACATAAGTACAACTGGAATGTAAAATTCTTCTTTCTGCATATTTGCTAAAATCGTTTTGTTATATAATTTTTCCTGTCTATAAGCTGATAAAATATATATTTCTATTGTTAATGCAGGCGAGGGTATCAGCATTAAGAATTTAGAAGGAACAATAAATATGAATCTAGGATCAAAGTGTAAGAGAGGAAAGTGTTGGTACCGGGATGAACTACTACAACGATACAGCCAAGATGGTGTAACAACTATAGCAAGGGAAAATGGGGACATAATTTGTCAGTCAAATCATCTTACAGCTTTTACAGCTGAAAGTGGTAATATGTTAATATAGTTATATTTTTTAATATCATAAGATTTTCTCCTCCAAACTCGATTGATTTAACCCATTACGCGATATACAGGCCTTTTAACTCCCTTTTCACACCCCTATTTAGTGTCTCAAATGGTGAAAAAATGCTTTATTTAGGCCTCCAACACTTGTTTTTGTTTGAGAAATGTTGCTAAAGAAAGTGACCACTTTTCGGCGCCGCCCCCATCTAAAAGATACATCAGGGGATTGCCGGAAGGGGGATGTGCCCCCTTCTGTTTGGGGGGTTTGAAGGGGGTGGTAGACTTGTGAGAGGCTAAAAATGACCCCAGGTCGATCATAAGGTAACGTGTAACCAACGCTGAAAAGCCTTTGATTCTATCTCAATCCATTGAAAAGTTGCAGCACTTTGAAATCAATTTTGATGGAAAAAAATCAACGCAAAATAGTAATTTTTGGCAATTTTGAGATGGGCCCTCTTTGCTATGGTAACAAGGAAATTTAAGACTGAGCATGTCGTTACAAAGGCAATGGTCCAGTTAACATTTATGCCAAGTTTGATTAGTATTGTAGCAATTCTTATAGTTTTATAGCAATTTGAACTTGTAACGGGATACTTTTCAATGAAAACAGCCATTTTTCACAAAATGCTCATGAAGAAATGGGTTAAGATATTATATGATAAAAATATTATACAATAGTTTTCAAGGAATAACCTCTAATATACAATGTATAAGCAAGTTTAATAGTATATACAACTCTCTGAAATAATATATTTGTTTATGTTACATTTAAGATAACATTCAAAATACTTTAATCTAAATAAATTTTCTTGAAAATTGAAGCAACATAAGTAATTTATTTCAAGATATTTTAGATTTAAATACCATCACTTTCTGAACGTTTTATATATAAAACTCCTGTTATCCTTTTTGCATTATTTTTATTCCGTTATATTACCTATGATTTCTTTGGAAATTGTAGCCATTTGCATGATTGTTAAATTCGGAACGAACGACAACGACCTTTACGGTACACCTGTTTATGTAACATCGATTGTTCAAAACAATAATAAGAAAGTGTTGAAAAGATCCCTTATAATATAGATTGATATAATTAGAATGATGTATCATCAAATTTACACAAGATTGACAAATCTGTTGAGTATGAAAGTAAATGGAAAATTTCTGCTTTGCAGAAGTATATACTACACTGAGTTGCCTTTGGATGAAGGTTTTATTGATTTATACTTTGGAAATGGTGTCTAAAATTGAATAAAAATAATGAGAGTATAATTGAATAAAGAGATTTTATAGTCTCTGCCAGACGTGTCAGAAGTTTTACAACATAAATTTAAATATGAATTTACTCAAAAACCATGATACACACACCTTTTCTTATAGTACATTCCAATAAACAAAACATTTCATAGAGGAAGTGGCATTTGTTTTTAGTTTTCTTATCAAAATATATGGCCCATTAAACAATTTATTTTTTTTTGGAAACTCCGTGATATAAACTGGAAACTCTTAAGATATTTTTTTTATGGAATAACCTAGCACATTAACTAAGGTCACCAAATTTAATTCGATATTAATTTTTATTTGATTTCTTTTTTCTTTTTCAGAGCCTGAGCCGTTTAAAGGTTTGTACACTTGATATGTTTCTTATGTAGAATGCGAAAAAAATGCTTAAAATATGATTATTATAAAATTCCAATTAGAAAACAAGTTTACATTGAAACAACTGTTAAGAAGTGATAACATATACGCGCATTCACTTCTTAACAATTTTTGTTATTTCAACAATATCTGATCCAAGGAGAAGTTTATTTGAATATACGTTACAATAACTGAATCTAATTATTTTCATTTTTCAATATAATTGTAGGATTAAATCTTCCTTACGTGATATCGTTATGTGTAGGAGGAATACTACTCTTGGTATCTCTAGTGATTCTCGTGAAGCTGTGGCTGGTAACAAAACATCGAGCCAATGCCGTTGAAGATGAAAAAGAGTTTGCACTGGATGATGTACCAATGAATAAAGACAACTCTCCTTCATTCAAAAAGCGCTAATAACTTTGAAACTATTTTGTTATTTAGATGCGTTTTTTTTCTGAGTGATCATCTGTTATTATTTTAAGGATTATTCTCTTAATATAACATGTAACAACCAAGTGCTCGTTCAAAGGAGCAAAGAACACATTATCACTTAAATGGTTCTCCTACGTGTACAAAAGTAACAGTTGGCATAACAACGACCGGTTGCTATAGAAACATAACATAATTCATATGGTTGTCGTTTGTTCTGTGATACTCAAAAACCTGCAAACTAGCTTTCATTTAAATATTTTTTAACGGAACTTAGAACTTGGAACGGAGCTTAGACAATACTTGCTCATATGCTTCTTATACAAAATTATATAGTGTGCTCAGATTACTTTCCTTTACACTATTATAGTGAAGTTTACTGTTTCTTAAATGTATAATTTACCTCGAGTTGAAAATAAAACAAACAATAAAAATGTAGTTAATGCAGCGAGAATTCCATATCTAACAAATTTGATGAAGACTGGGTAAACTTAAGATAGTTATAAACATGCCATCAATTCGTAACAATTTGAAATATAGAAAATCGTACTATGTGATTTTTTTAAAAGTATCCAAAAGGTATAATTTTACATAATTTATGATATATTTGATGATATATGTTTAATGTTATTTATTAACAATTTACACAATGAAATTTGAATACAAGCAAAACATTCGGTATGTGTGGAGAGATAGAAGAAACGTTTCTTATAATCATTTTTCAATGTTTAAAACATGTTAGATGTTGTGTTGATTTTATAATGTTTTATAGTGTATGCGTCAATAGAACATTTCATTTATGTTAGTCAAAACGATGACAACTACTAAAGTTGTCTAATATGAAAGTGTTTTCATTGATAATTTATTTTTATACTTCTAACTGTTATCATAAAGTGTTTTCCGTCATTTCATGTTAATACACTCATAATTAATTACCATATGCTATTTTTGTATGAAATTTTTTTGACAATTATCTGCATTATCAACAATAAAGCAATACCTTAGGATTGACAACACGACAGAAATAAAAAAATAGATGGTTGACATGTTCATGGTCGGTAGTAGTGGAGTATGCCTGTTCCGTCAATAACCTTAGACAATTCAACATTTTAATACATGTATATAACAAAGTATAAATTCCGATGATGATGGGTTTAATTTGTATTCGTTTTCAAAGTTTTGTGTTGTTAATGCATTGGGGTAGTTATAGTTCTGATGAAAACAATAACTTGTTTACGTAAGCAATACTAATTCGGTTTTGTATTATCCAAGGCATGGTTTCTTTGATGAGGCTTTATTTCTTATACATGTTATTTTGTTTTTCTTCTTTTATCATGTATTGGATATGTTTTTCCATGTTATTACATAATACTGAAATACATCTGTGCATTTAAATACAGTAGAGCAATAAAACATTTAAATTGTTTTTTCTCTTTGATTTTGACTCGCCAATGTATGTTAACACGATTGATTTTATTTCAAACTTTATGACTATGACGTTATGTTGAAACATTTGAATGCTTTTGAAACACAAATACATTTTTCTTTGTAGAAATTCTACTAAATTGTCAGAATATTTCATGAAACCATCTGTTATGTTAGTGCAGGTTTATTTCGTATTCAAACATGAAATTTGTATGAATAATAATTGCATCTATTTACACTTAAAGTAAAGCAATAACAATAATTTCATCTGGCAGCGAAAGTAGTTTAAACCTGTAATCAATAATGTTTCCATTGTTGTAAATGTACAATAATAAGTTCAAACACATGTTAACAAAAGTTCTTTAATTTGTAAAACAGTAACTGAACTAATATAGATGTACTTAACAATTTTATATGACCTAGCGGGTACATTTCAATCATTTATTTATGTTAACACTTAGATGAAATATTTATAAGTAAAAATCTTCCGAGAAACATTGTCTTTTTACAGTTAAATTTGATTCTGCTTAAAAGAAAATATATGATTTACGTAAACAATATTCCTTTGAAACAAAGCAGTTCACAATTTTCATTAAGAAAGAAATAAAGAAAGAAAACAAGAAAGAAAGAAAGAAAAAAAGAAAAAAAGAAAGAAAGAAAAATAAGAAATAATATAATTTGTTCGCCTGTTGTCAAACAAACGTACCAACTAAAATTATATTTTACCATGACATAGTTGTATGATAAATTGTATGAACGAAATATATTTTGAATTATTGCCCAAACTGAGACGATTATTAAATCTATCAGTCAGAACTTTATTTTTTTAGTCATCTGATAGTTAATAAACATAAACATAAAAAAATATTGATATTTTTAAAATTTGTTTTAAGCATGAAAACGTTGTTGTACAATTTCGTTATGTTTTATCTTGGCTTTCATTAAATTATTTTGAAGGTGTTTGTTTTATGTTTTTATGGTAAGTAAATCTGGTTATTCTATCAGAATATACATTTACATTGGAAGAACTATGGGATGGAGTATACGCCTTGTTATGACATGCTAATTATATTATTTTGCAAAAAAATGATGTTTGAATTAATTACAAAATAGTGTTGCTGATATTCCATACAATTAAAATTAAGTGTTATAATAAAGATACATTCAGTATTGACAATTTAACGAGTATGGTTTCAAGATGTCTAATTTAGAATCTACTTTCTGAAGAGCATTCATTTTAAGTAAGAAAATGAGTTAACATAATATGGATCATGAGTTCAAACTCTACACAGGGCATGTTATAGGGCAAGCCTTTTAAAAATATTTTATTATTATAAAAAAAACTATATTAAAGAAATATTTGCACCTTTGTTTATAGTGTAACGCGTACAGTATAATTTCAATTTGCGAGCTTTTACGCTATGATTGTAAACGCAAGTGGCTCATCGTCAAAATATATGCACGGCCGTACCATACCATTTTTACACAGTAGGAAAAGCGTCATGGGTATATGATAAATTGAATTATTATATGTAATGGTATAAAGTGCATCATGGTACACAGAAATGCCATTGCTATAGAGGGATCTCTTTTTTTCCAGATTTTTTAAATGTTTTTTTTTTATTCACGATGAAGCAAATTTACACCTGCATCCTCAAATACCAATATGAAGATCTCAACTTAATTTTCAATTACTACATTTAAATAGTTTTACAGACAATTTTTGATTTATCTTCCCTTCTTTTCTTTCACGTAAATAGTTTTCGTCGTATGTACCATACACTACAGAACTTCATTTAGCACTGTTCAAACGGCGGAAAGTAGTACAAATATTAAATACAAGTCGTTGGCTTTTTTGTCTGATAATTGCAATCAACTTCTTTAAATTTGGTTTATACAATATTTATTTATGTCTTCTTCCATATTTTCAAACACAATCTTGAAATATTAATTGCATCCAGGATTGAGTAGAAAGCATTTAAAACGCTTATATGAAACTCTCCTGAATTGAAACAGACACCATTGATGTCATAAAACCGTTTTCCTTTTCATTTTTATTGCAAAAGTTTTTCTAAACCATAGGTTTGAAAATATCTCCTGCTAGATATAGATAATTGTCAACAGTGAAAGACTGTTCATATATTTCTTTAGTAAGAAGAAATGGAATAAATCAAACAGAAACACTGATAACACTTGGAAATTAACGTAACAATTTTCATATAGGCTATGAAATTAAGTTAAAATAATCAAATAATTTAAGCGGTATTTTTTTTTATCACAATATCAATTAAAAAAGAAGAAAGTTATCTAACAGTCGTCGTAACACAGCTTTCTGCAATAACAATGCATATTTTATTGATAAGAGTGTTAGAATCCTTATTTATTTCTTCAACTACTGAAAAGAATGAACACTCACATTTTCACTTTAATGACAATACAAAACGGTATAAAACACATATCAAGTTCTTTACAGTGCAAAGAGGTCTGACCAATGTTAATTCTTAACCATTAAGAATAAAACAAGTGTGCTTTTTACTTGCTAAGGGCAGATTTAATTACATTTCAACTCATAGCAAAAATAATAATACGGAATTAAGCCTCAAGACCATTCTATAATGTAATAGCGCAATTGATATTTAAAGTTTATCACAACACCGTTTTTATATTCTAAGTACCTTCTATCCATTTGGGTTTAAATGATATCTTAAACAAATCTATTATTTTGTTAGTTATAAGATAAAAACAGCAAGTTGAAGGCGTCATCATTAAGAGATCACTACAACAAAAATTACAGTTTCAATCATCGTTATCACCCGGATAATCATCACTCAAAGGTATGGTGAAATACAACAAGATGTTATCAAAATCTACAAGAAAATATTACCAATTACTACTTGTTTTGTTCGTTTTTGCTTTGAGTGTTTGTATCATTTATTATCTTAAAATTGTAAATGTTATATTTCTTTTCCGTTTTGCTTTGAAAATTTTCGATAATAGCATCAAATCAATTTCAAATATAGCCGTGCTTATTTTCCTCTAAAATAACGCCACAAAATGTAATACATTTGTTTTCACTCTACCTTGATTTGCTTTACTGAAATCTTAAAGCTAATTTTCTTACATGTGAAACGGTGCTTTATTTCATTATTTGAAAGACAGTAATAAGATTTGTGGAATTAAAATGTCCTTTGCATTACTGAAATTAAAAAAAACACACCAGGTAATCTTATCAAAATATTGGCGATATGATAATTCAGTATGAAATGATGCTTCTTTGATAGATTTAACTTGCAAAAATAACAAAGTACAATTCTTAATTAATTTTTAAAGGCATTATATTTTTTTCAATAATGATAGCACTACCACAAGGTAAATACCAAACAGGGTAATAAAGATTTATTTAACAGATGGCTTAATCGAAAGATTAGGCTTACATGCTTCCTATTGATATTAACAATATATTCATACGTCATTTCCGGTACATATGCATATTCTGTAAATTTGTGCTTCATATCTGAGAATAAGATTATTACACAGACTAATTAAAGTTCAATTAATGAAAACGTTTATGGTCTGTTAAATCCATTATTCGTGGCATAATATATTCAACATATTGGTGTTGTATTTAATATTAATTAAAAAAACAATACTTATCATCACTCATTATTAATTAACTTTTCAATATAAGGCACGTTTTTACTTCAAATGTAAGGCTAATATGAAGTTCACCACGACATTATGAACATAAAACAAGGCAAAAAGTACAGTATTTATGAGAAAATTCGGCCATTATGAGATTGGAGAATTTTGACTGGCTCTCAAGCTCGGCCATTATGAATCTGCTAGGACAGTCTTCATCTTAATAACAAGACCATTATGAAAACACTTAATTATTAACATTATATCACTGACAAAAATTAATTTGAAATTAAAATTTGATAATAGTTTTTCCGTTGTGAAACTGTTGAACATGATAAGGTGTTATGGAGCGTCAATATTTCAGTGTGCTTTTTTTAAAGGGACTCTGACATGACGAGACTGGAAATATCTTTTTCGATTTTTTAATACTATTGGATGTAGGTCTTGACCAATGTCTTGTGTGCATTATTTCAGATCATTCGCTCAATCTGTTTTATAGAATAATCATTTTTATTGTGCGAAATGACACTTAACTTTTTTTTACTGGCTAAAATCACAAAAGAAATAGATTCTCAATTTAATTCTGAGAATAATTCATTGTTTTTCGTTTTTATATTCCCGGTGCATCTTTCTAAGAATTTGAAATTTTATGTAGTTTTTGCCATTTGGACCTTAGTGAAGTTCCTTTTATCATTTATAAAATATTGAAGATGAAGATATTATAAACATAATAAGGATGAAACAACTGTCCAATGCCTCCGGTCTTCTTTCAAACTTCAATTATATTTAATTAAGCCCTGGTATTGCTGGAATGCACTGGCATTCTTTTATTTGGACCTTGCACAGCTTTTCATGAAATCTCACGAAATGTCATATTGAAGATTTCATGATGATCGCCGTATGAAAATATCTGCGGTTGTTTTAAAATTTCACCATTTTCTAGTTTAATTGTTAAACTTTCCTTACGCTACGGGACGTGTACGATAGATTGCAATAACCACTACCGTCCATGAACAGGCTCAATAAAACCAAGCCTGAATTATTTTCAATTTTTCCGTTTGGGCTTTCTTTAGGGATTCCGTTTTTCTCTATTTTAGGAAGCTTGATAATGTCTTCTACAAAATCCTAACCAGCTTCCAATTTCTAAATTCGAAATATATTATCATTTCTCAAAACAAATAGTTTAGAAATCACAACGTATGCATCATATGCTATAGATAACATAAACGCATCTATACTTTTATTTGGCAAATCGGCCTGATAAAGAAACGTAAGTTTGAGATTCCGTATTGGCGTTAAACTTTAGACATATATTTGGATATGTTTTAGATGTGTATATTGATATATATCAAAATACGGTACAACAATAGGTTTAAACAATCACTGTTTCATTTCCCTAAACATAAACATTATTACTTGAAACAAAAAAAACCACAAAAAAAACAATATATCATTGAAATTATGCTTGATAAGAACTAATAAACATATTTCCGAAAACAAAACACCTGCTGTTTGTGAGATAATTTACAATGAATTATCAGATGTACAAACCGCCGAGCAGAAAATCCAACCCAAGAAATTTATATCTTCCTTAAGCTCGCGAACAAAGCTTTCAGATGTAAATATTCAGGTGCCGCATAAAAATCAAGTTATTGTTAGCAATGGAAATAGAATAAATTGCTAAAAACTAAATGCATACGATTATAATTAGATGTATATTATCGTAATGCTGTCGTAAATTATCACCTTATGTCCTGGGATTGGCTTAATGAAATGATGTTAGAACATGTTGCCCAATCCGTTTGCTTTTGTTTTCTTGTTCTATTTTCTGTGTATATTTACATGCATATAGGTAATTAAATATGGTTAAAATAAATCACCTTCAGTTTGCAGTACTATAGTATTTATATCTGCTGCATTATGCTAGCAAAACTATTACTTGAATATTTAAGAATAAATGCTTCCAAAATACACGTATGAAATAATTATGCGAATACAGGAAATCTTTGCAATTTAGTTATACACTTTACTTAAGATGGCAGCATAATATTTGGTTCCAAAATGTTTTAATCTGTCTATGTACATTCATGTGAGTAAAATGGCCTTCTATGTTATAACTTTTACAGCTTTCCAAAATGGACCATCACTTGACTGGAACAACATAATTTTACCGTTCATAAATAATCCAAAAAACTTCCATGACATAAATCAGGCAAAACTTAATTAAGCAAATAAAACACATCGCAAATACTTCAGTTTAAAAAACGAAGTACTTCATCATTTCAACATTTCACGAGAAATGTATAATTGTGCGCGTT